AGCAACCTCCCACTCCTGGGCTCAAGTGAGTCTCCTGCCTCAGCCTCCCAAGTAGCTGGGACCACAGGCACCCGCCACAACGCCCAGCCGGGGGCTGGATTCGAACCGGTCATCTTAGGTGTATGTGGCTGGTGCCTTAGCCGCTTGAGGCGCCGAGCCCCAAAGTAGGTTTAAGTGTTTGCTTTCTATGGCATTCTAGTCTCCTCCTTTAAATATAACAAAAAGTCATTCCAAGATGCAAGACCAACACGTTCTTGAAAAGGGCCTCAGAGATCTCAATGCTCTACACTGGGATGGAGTCCTTTCCTCAAGGTTTCCATAACCCCTAACCCCTTTTTCTGAGAAGGGCACTGGCATGCCCTCTGCCATATCCCCGTTGTTACCTCGTTTGAACTCTTCCAAGACGGCGTCCAGCTTGGTGTCATTAAAGACAAAGTGGAGTGGATGGTTGTAGAAGCGGGTGATGGTGCTGAGCGGTGTGCAGTCCTCGGGGTCCACAAAGGCTAAGTCCTTGAGGTAGAGCATGTCCACAATGTTGGAGCGCTCCTCCTCGTACACTGGGATGCGTGTGTAGCCGCTCTGCATGATGCTGGCCAGGACGCCAAAGTCCAGCACCGCGCTGGCGTCCAGCATGAAGCAGTCATCAAGCGGCGTGAGCACATCCTCCACAGTCCGGCAGCGTAGCACACCCTTGCTGAGGTCGTTGTAGGGGTCGCCACCGCCGCGCGCCAGCTCTAGCACCCGCTCACGCAGCCGCCCGGGCCGCGCCGCCAGCTCCAGCAGCTGCCCCACGGGCAGAGCCACCGGCAAGGTGAGCAGCACAGCCAGGCGACTGAGGCTGAGCGCTCGCGGCGCCAGCGCCAGAGCCCAGCGGCCGCTCACGGCGGCCGGCACCACCTCGCCTACCAGGAATACGAGACACGCGCTGCCCAGCACAGCGGGCACCGCGCGCTGGCCGGCCGCACGGTACAGCAGCACCGCCAGCGCCGCCTGCGCCAGGCTGGCCAGCAGCAGCAGCGCGCCCAGGACGCAGCCCGCCCAGCGCCGCGCGGGCTCCAAGCGCCGTGCCGCCGCACGCTCGGCTTCCGAGCCGCTCTCGCGCAGCACCTGTACCTCAGCCGGCGCCAGCGCCAGCGCGCTCAGCTGCAGTCCCCGCGCCACTGCCGCCAGCGCCAACAGCCCGGCCGCCCCCAGGACCAGCACCCAGGGTGGCGCCGCCTCCTCAGCCGCCCCGCCGCCCGGCTCCACGCGCACCGCCAGCAGCGCTGAATGCGGACACACGGCCTCACCGCGCAGGCGCAGCAGCGCGCGCCACTCGCCCAAGGGGGCCGCCGCCTCTTCGGGCACCTCAGCTAGTCCGCCCTCCGGGCAACCCGCCCCCTCAGGGGCCACCCAGGACCAGGAGCTGTTAGCAAAGCCCGGGCCGAAGAGGCGCAAGCGGAAGGTGGCCTCCGGTGCGGCCCGCACCGCTCCTCCGCTTGCCCACCCAGTGCCCGCCTCTCTGTCTTCCTCCAGACAGAAGCCCAGCACTCGCGGGCAAGGCGCTGCCTCCCCCGCGGCGTTGCCCAGGCAGAGCGCAGCAATCAACCAGCCTAGCCCACCCGCTACCGCCGCCGCCATCGCCCGCTGCCCCCTCTCTGTCTCTCGCGCAGCCTACCCCGCTCGCCCCGCACCTCCACCGAGAGGGCCAATCGTCGCGGCCTTCGAGCCTCCTTGACCAATAGGCTCCTGGCGAGGGCGGGCTCCAGCATCCAACTAGGCTGCGCCGGGGAGTAAACAAGTGGCGGCGCGGGGCGGGCCGGGGGCGTGGGGCTGTGGGTCAGGTCCCTCCGCGGCTCTAAAGGCTAGGTGATAGGCACCCCGAGGACGCTGAGAGACGGGCAGGCCTCTAAAGCTTGGCCGACCTGGGCCCACTCTTCCGCGGCCATTCCCACGCACCCGCTAGGCCATGCCAGTGCTCAAGGACGACCCAGGCTGCGGAGCTGAGCAGCCGCTCGGATGAATAGGGGTCCAGGAGCGCCTGAAGTTAGAAGATATGCCATTTTCTCAGGAAAGGGTCTTGGGAACCAGAAAGGTGATTGTTTAATCCCCTAACCTACAGAATGAGTGCTGAAGTGAGAACCAGTAACTGGGCATCAGGAAGCTGAGGTTTGTCGAAGATGTTTATCATGGCCAACTCTACAATAAATCTGGGGACGTCAGATAGTTCCTGTCTTGAAGGAGTTTGGTAAATACACAAAACCTCCAACCCATTGGATCAGGACAACTACTTAATGTAATTAGTATCTTACAGGAGAAAAGTGAAGCTCAGAAAAGACTCCACAAGGATTCTGGGCCCAAGGCGACCTTCCTAACACCGTATTCACCTTCCCCAGCCACACAAGGATGTGGGTCTGTGAGGAATTACTAGATCTGGTAATTCCACGTCTCACAGTTTCATCCTTAGGAGAAAAATTGCTTGGGATCAACAAGAACGATTCAAGAGGATCCTCAGAGTTATATTAGAAAACAATAATCCTAGCACTTTGGGAGATCGAGACGGGTATATATTGCCTGAGCTCAGGAGTTTGAGATCAGTCTGAGCAAAGTGAGACCCTGTCTCTACTGAAAAATAGAAAAACTAGCCGAGCATTGTGGCGAGCACCTGTAGTACGAGCTACGCGGGAAGCTGAGGCAAGAGGATCTCTGGAGGCCAAAAATTTGAGGTTGCTGTGAGCTATGATAACCCCCGTGCAACAGAGTGAGACTTTGTCTCCAAAAAAAAAAAAAGGTGTGGCTCAGTGGGTAGGGTGCCGGCCCCATATACCTAAGGTAGCGGGTTCAAA